CCCAAATTCGAAAACATAATATAAAAGTTTAAAATGGTGTTAAAAAACATTAACATGACATGACATAGAAAACCAACCTATTTACATTTATTTACATAGTGTCACTCAGAAATCAGAAGAATCCACTTTCTGACCCCAAATGATGTCATTTTATATACCAAAAGTGTATCATATGATGTTTTTGATGATGTAACAAATTATCGATGCTACATAAAAATGTTCTAGTTGATAATATTAATTTAGAAATGAGTATTGATTGATTTTGTGTCCAAAAATACTCGAAAAAACGGTATTATATGACTTTAATGTTATTTCTGATGATAAAAACAATATATTAAAAAAATATCATACTTATCGAGGGCCCATTTCTCACATCTTGCCCAGGGCCTAAAAAATGTCAGGAACGGGCCTGACAATTAATATCTAATCGGATATTTAAACCTAATGAGTATGGGTTTAAGACCAACACTAAAGGGTGTTGATCTATTGTTTTGAATTCTTTGTTGATGGAAAAATTGCATGAAAAAGAAACGTACTTTAATTTGATTTCTATTTTGAGTAACCTACTTTCAAAACTTCCATTTTGGTACTTAATATGTAAAATTTTAAACATTTAAGTACTTGGATAACCGGTTGAAGTATTAACCGGTTACCATGCTGATGTGGTATTCAACTCAGTATTATTTGCTATTCAACCCAATTTTATCTAATCACTCGCCAAATCAGCATGGTAACCGGTTAATGCTTCAATCGTTCACCTGAGTACTTAAATGTTTAAAACTTTACATCTTATATATGTACCAAAATAAAAGTTTTGAAAATACGTTAACTCAAAATAGAAATCAAGTTAAAGTACGTTACTTTTTTTATACAATTTGCCCATTCTTCCATACTTGGCAAAGTTCAAGGTTTTTCTAGTTTATAATTAACAAGATCGTACCTTAACATGTTAATGTAAAACTTTGAATGTGACCTTTAAAATTTTTGGGGCCTGATTTTACATGTGTTTGAGGATTTTATCAACCTATGCAGAACATCGTTTAGGTTTCAAATTGTTAATTGTTTATGTTTAGGTTAGGATTGTTATTTAGCCTTTCTTTTGTGCTTAATATATATGTATATCTGTTATCTAATTTTGTAGTATAACAAAGCCTCCCAGAAAATCGGAACGTCCCTGAATTGATATATAGAAAGGGACTTGAACTATTATGCTCCGAAATTCATTTCTAATCCATAAACACACTTGTAAAAAAACACTAATTTGGTAGAACATAAATTAACTGGTATCGATTTACGTCTGCATGTATGCATACGAATCACGTAAATCATAGTCCCATAACTATTCTATGGAAGTGTTTACAAATAAACTTTTATTCCGGTGTCATTTTAATCTGTCTTGATGAAGTTTTTTTGATGATATATTTAGTTATAAAAAAATATTTATCTTATTATAATTTAATAAAGTCCATAAAATTTTCAAAATATATAAACAAGTAGGTCATTTTATCTGTATAGTCCTATCTAATTCTGTTTTACCAAACGTTGAATAACACCGTTACCAAACACATTCTAAGGGTAAAATAAGGTTATAAGGTGTTAGGAATGTACATCAATCAATTTAGCTACATGCATGCATGTGTTAAGAGTATCTAGAAAATCTCATAATATTACTATGCAACCTCTACAATTTCCACGAGTAAATTAGATCATAAATGCTAGTCTCTTGGCCCTCCTTGAAAGTTCAGAATCCCCCAACACACTACAACCAAATTAATGAGCCTTTTTAGGATCCCCAAATCATCATGTGGCATCTTAATATAGTGCTTAATTAGCTAGTGAGACTTCAAGTTTGAAGGACCAACAAAAGTTCACCTTACAATATATATATATATATATATATATATATATCTTTAGCCCGATCATAGGTGTTTATGAATAATAAGGCCCAATCCTCCATGTCAAGGCCCACATCATGAGGTTCAGTGGGTTCATCGGGTTGGGTTGGGTTGAGTGGGACTTGACTCACTAAATTATCAGATACCTGATAGTGTATATATATATATATATATATATATATATTATACATACATTATACATATAATGTAGGTGGATTTCCTAGTTATAATGGGGAATAGGCATTGGCAAAATAAGTGTTACAAAAATGCACCCATTTTCCAAAAGTAGCCACATGCATACAAGTTATGTAGAATGAATCTATGGTTTTGGGTTTCAGCATAAAGAAGACGATACAGAAATACCGTGACAATGCTAAAGCAAATGAAAGCTGCAATGAAATTGAACCCCAAAATCAGGTCAAATTTCCAAACACAGATTGACAAAAACTAATTGTAAGATGGTACCTCATAAACATTTCCATGTACTGTGCAGCAATTGAAGCATGATGCCACCATCATTCAAAAGAAGATAGAGCAACTCGAAGTCTCACAACGGTGCTTTTTTAGATGTTAATTACACTTGTCTTTCCACCACCAATTAATTTTCTTTTCACCAGTTCCGTAGCTTAAAATTTTCGTACGATGAATGGAATGTTGTAGAAAGCTTATGGGACAAAATTTGGCGTCGTGCTCAGTAGATGAACTACTGAAGTTAGACAGTAAGCTTGAACATAGCTTGACAATCATCAGGGCGAGAAAGGTATGCCAAACGATACACTTGAATTGATCTATTCGAATTCACCATTGTTTCGTTCTGATTCCATTAATAAACGTTCTTCGGTTCATCCCAGAATCTATTGTTCAAGGATCAAATTGAAAATTTGAAAGCAAAGGTTTGTATGTTCCTAGGTTTTTAGAAATGAAAACATGAATCCCTCCATTTACACCCTTATCATGTCCAGGAGAGGTTCCTCTTGGAAGAAAACACAAGATTATGTCAACAAAACACGAGCTTATGCGAAAAGGTATAATGTGTGCCCTTCTATAAAAGTTAAAACCTTACTGTGTTACATCATTCAGTTGCTTCATGACTTTCTAAAAGTAGATGGTCATGGAACGATCGATCTCTACAAAACATGATGAAGGAATCGAGCTAAAAAGATTCTTCTTCCAATGATCTATATATATATCCATTCAAATCATGATATTCAGACATCAATTTAGTTGTTTTTAACAATTCCAAACCTGTTGTTGTTGATCAGGAGATTCATGTCACTGCTACAAGCAGGGAAAGTATCCAGAATTTGGAGGTAGAGACAGAATTATTCATTGGTTCGCGCCTCGATGAAGAGTGATGAAGTTGAGCTAAATTAGAACTGCTTTTCTATCATAACTACATTGTTGTTTTACATGCGTAGCATGAGCCGTAGAGTAAACTAAATGTCACATTGTTATGCATAAATTGCATGTTCAGATATCCGAAGAAGGGTATATAAGTATATAACACATATGTTTTTTTGTCGTTGATAATGTTGAAAATTGTGATACGAAACAACGATATGTAAAACAGAAAATTTTGGACTTTGTGACGCTGCCGCACCTTATGATCCGGCATGGCCGTGCGTATTGTTATTTTGCAAACAAAATCTTTTGGGTGTTTTGATATGGCCGCACCTTATAATTCGTCCTGGCCGTGCATAGTGTTATTTTGCAAAGAGAAACTTTTTGGATGTTTTGACACGGCGACACCTTATAATTCATCCTTAATTCGTTCTCGCCATTCATGACGATAATGATGGTTTTCTTAGCTTTTAGTATTGGATCAAATTGGGATTCCACCTATGGATTAGTATAAATAAACCTCTTGAGTCCATCATGATAGAGAATGAAATTTGAGAGCTTACAAGCCCTAGTTTGAGTATTGAGAGATTATACAAAATTTAGTGTTCGGTTTGAAATATTTCTTTCGTATTTGAGCGTTCTTTATCAATAAAATTTCCTCCTCTTTCCGGTGGATGTACATCACCATACCGATGGTGGAACCACGTAAATCTCTGTGTCTTGTGTGGTTTCAAAGTTCTTTGGTTGATTGATCGTTGTGTTTTCGATCCTACTTTGTTATCCGCATTCATTGTTGGTTGACATCACATATTTGATTGTCATAAAGTTCATTACTTTATTTTGTTTTTGGGACGTTTGTAGTGTTCAAAACCCCAACATATAATTTTGGTGTTATGATTCACAATGCATCATGAATAATACTTGCATTTTGTGAGTAATTCAGATTAATTGACATTTCATCAGTTATTCAGATTAACCTAGCTATTTCACCCCCAAATCCTGTAATCGTAATTTGTGGAGTGCGCTTTCCTCCAATGGCCAACCTGAATCCCCTTCTAATGGATTCGGCGGATCATCCATGTCACGAATTGGATGGCAGGCCCAATTCTGACTCGATTCATGCCAACCCTTCTTCAAGCTACCATCCACTCGCTGCAAGGATGGGGGTTCATCGAGACCTTGCTTTTGATGACCATAGACGAATCCATCTTACCTTCAATGAGCTATTTCCTCAACCCCGGTCCAAGTTTTATGTCGTTGTTTTCCCTAAACACTCTTTAGCCAATATAGACTACCATCCGCACCTTTCCCTTTAACACTCTTTGGCTTTCCTATGTCATAATGGAACTTGGTAGAGGCGAATCATTATGTGGTTATGCTTTTTCATTGTTGGGGAATTATTGATGATGTAGCGTGTGCAATCGAAACAAAGATTAAACCTGTTGATTCCATGAATGCTTAAGAAATAATCTCTTCTAAAACTTGTTGATTCAACAAATACCAAACTTTAGGCTCAAATTCAAATTCATAATGAACTCAAAATTTGGATGGAAAATGGAAGTCTATGTATTGATAAAGAAAAAAGAAAAAAGGAAAACGAAAAATGAAAAATGAAAAATATTGCAAGTAATTAACTAAGAGTTTCAAGTATAAATGGGTCAAAAAAAGATGACGAACCAAACATAAAATCCCAAACGGAAAATGAAAAAGATAAGCAAAAATCACAAAAATATGCCAGAACATGTTTAAACGACGGTTTAACACTACAAGATAAAAGGGTTTTAGAGAAGGTTTTTGTTTTGAGTTTAAAAGTATATAAAGCTTCTCTAAAGGATTTAGAGAAACTTCTAAATTCCGTCACAACGCTTCTCTATATAAAGGTAGGTAAAGGTCTTAGGGAGGGTTTTCGGAGGGTGCGCTTTTATTAGCTTTTAGAGACACTTTTTTGGGGGCTTTAAATACAATTTCAGAACTTTTCTAAAGGTGTGTCAACTTTTTTCAAAAAGCTTCTCTAAAAGTATTTATTATAACACTACAAAAAAACCCACTTTTTCCGGCGG